TGAAATCGAATTAAAATGAAATATATGTTTCTATTTAATCCTCTAAAACCCATTTATACTTGTTTAGTATAAATTCTTCTTAAACTCTAATCCTAAAAAATGCGCCCTCCAAAATTTTATTTTTTAGTGGTTTGTCAATTTTTTTATACTTACATATTTCTGATTCATCCCCAAATCTTTCGTCTAACTCACACTAATTGAGTTTTGAAATCAGGCTTTCTATTTTATTTGAAATCAAAATTAAATTCCAAATATGTTAATTGTGTTAAATGAACCAATTAAATCTATTTCTATTAATCTGAATAATACGAATTAAGTATTAATACGGTTCAATTTTCTTTTTTAGAAATTGAAGTTAGCCCAAATGTGATAGCTAGAATTAATATGTAAAATCTTGTATGATTAATAATTGCCATGGATCATAATGAAATCGGATTAAATGTGAGTTTCTATTTAACCCTCTAAAACTTTTTTGGTTTTGATTTATTGGCTAAATGAGTGAAAAAAGTTTGATTTTTTTCTCAATATTTTTGCCATTTTTTTTATTTTCCTGGTGTGAATAGCTCATATTAAAAAGATTTTAGCATGCGGCAAACTATATCTGTTTATTATATTGTTGACGCTTTTCTGGCTCATACAGGCAAAATTTTTCACTTTTGACTAATATCTAATCCAAACTCACTTATACTTGTTTAGTATAAATTCTATTTTAAAACTAACCTCTAACTTTAACAATTTTATTTTTTGGTGGTTTGTCAATTTTTTTATACTTACATAGTTCATTTTAATCTGATCAATTACAATAATTTTTATATTAAAACTAGATAGAATAATTTCCTTAATTGCACAATTAAGTTTGTGGGAATTAAGCTGAGTGCCTTATTTAATTTAGAGTGCTTCCAAGCATTTAAATTAATAGATCAGAGTTCAATTTAATTAGTGGAAAATAAATTATTCGGTCAATCGAGTTTATTATCGCAACAAGAAGTTTTTTTTAGCATATTATTAATAAAAAAAAAAAAATAAACAGCGACTATATTTTTTATAATAGAGTTGTACTGATTGGCTAAAATTTAATATCTGCATTTCGCAACATAAATTTTTGATAAAATTACTATTAGTATTACTTGTAGTACTTGTGCATGATCTCTATAATTAACATTAAGTAAGAACCTTAAACAATTAATTTTAATTTCAACTGTTGATTTAATTTCAACAGGTGATTTAATTTCAACCATTGATTTAATTTCAACTAGTAATTTAATTTCAATCATTGATTTAGTTTTAACTATTGATTTAATTTCTACCATTGATTTAATTTTTGTATGTAAATTAATTTCAACAATTGAAATTTAATTCGGCATCTCAATTTTAAAAAATTTTTGGTTAAATTATTTCAACAATTTCTACTGTAGAATGTAGAAATTATCACTATAATTTCACTGCCATCTATATATATATTGTAGATTTGATAACAGAGCATTGTGCTATTATGGATAGATCGAGACAGGTGGAATTTGTGTTTGGCAATTGTAAGAATTTGCCAAGAATTTGGGTGCAAATAGTATAGAGAATGACTATATTGTGAATTCTATATTTCATTATAAGAACTATAACTTTATTAATAACATAGACTATTTGTTTGTCTATTATCTTTTTTGAGTTGGCAGTATAGGCTAGGTTAAAAGCTTCCTTTTGAATAAGCTTAATTTGCTTAGTGTGTTTATTGTTGAGTATAAACCAATATTCTAGAAACTTGAATGCTTGGTTAAGTAGAATTGTTGTTAAGTTTGTTTGCAGAAAAGAGTCATTAGTATTGGGTTGGGTTAATATAAAAGTTGATTTGGAGAGGTTAACTTGAATGTTTGCTATTTTGTAAAAAGATGAAACAGTTTGGGTAATTCTTTCTAAGTTTTCTTTAGTATTGGCTATCTAGACAGTGTTATTCATATATGCAAGGACTAATATAAAGCAATATAGCCTCTTGGTGGAGGATGAGATTAGACTTGTTTGCTATAAGGTCTGCATAGTATAGCCTAGTAGATATGTAAAGGTTTTTGTGATAAGTGAATCATAGTATATTCTCCAGAATAGTGAGGTAATTGTTTCTCTCTGATTAATAACATTTTGAACATGATAAGGGTTGATAAAGCCAAGATTGGTAATAACTCTATTGGTCTAATTTGTAAAAAGTTGGCAAGAATTTTAATGAGAGGTTTTGGCATGCTGATTCTGTATAGTGATTTTTGAAATAAGCCAAAGTTAACTAAGTCATAGGCTTTGCTCATATCTTGTAAAAGTATCTATAGTTGATTGGTTATAATATTATTGAGAATATGAATTGAGATAGAGGTGAAGTTGTCTAGAAGTGTAACATAATTGAAAGGAGATAGAATTGGGTATTTTGATAAGATATTGTTTAAATAGTTAGTAAGAAGTTTAGTATATAGCTTTTTAATATGCTTTATTAGGTCTTGAGGCCCAGTATTTGTTAGATTTCTATTAAAAATTGGTTTCTTAGAGATGAGATAGATTTTGCCTTCTCTTCATTGTTTAGAGATTGTTTGGGTGAGGAGATATCTGTTTAGGAGTGTGGTTGTAGCTTGTAGTAAAGAAGAGCCTATATGTTTTAGTATCTTATAGCTTATTCCTGAAGAGCCACAAGCTTTATTGTTAAGTAGTTAACTAAGTGTAGTAAGTATCTTCTCTTGAGAAAAGGTGAAAAATATTTCTTGATACCAATCTGGCTGGATGTGAGGTTTGGAGTTATATTCAGCTTGCCACTCCGTATTAAATAGTGTTTCATTAGTTGGATGGATAGCAGTCCAGTTATTGAAGCGCTAGTAGTAGAGCCTGTAATAACATTCTGGTTAAGTTTAATATATCAAATTTAATAGGATCTTTATGCCAATTTAGAATTCTATTGAGTATAGAAGTTGGATTGGTTTGGAGCTTGGTACATCTTTTGGAAATTGCTTTTATAATTTAGTATTTTAGTAATTTAGTATTATGTTTAACTAATGTTTTCCAGATTGCACAAGTGATATAGCTTTTTTCACTCAATATTTGCTTTTGTTATCTAGTCAGTATTAGTTGTACAGAGAGGTATCTTCAGGTTGTGTAATCTGTTGTTTAGCTATTGTGATACTTATATGTAATGCAATCTGTTGGTTAGACTTAGTTAGATGTTTTCTAATTCTAATTATATTTCTAAGCTTTTTAAGGCTGTTGTAGAGCTGAGTAGTTTTAGGTAAAAAAGCATAGTGGAAGTTGCATACTGCAAAATTTTTGTTAGAGATGTGCTGGAGTGTGGCTATAATAAGTCTGGTTCGGATGTTATGCTATATAGTTTTAAAAGACTTTAAAGTTGTATTGTAAGAGATGTATTGTGTTGTTGTAGATTTGTACTAACTTGGTTTGTAAAATCCTCCAATGTTTCAGAGATCATTGCTTTGTAATCAAAGACTTATTTGCAAGTAAATGTTTTGTGTCTTTGTTGTCCTACTGTTGCATAAGGAAAGAGCTAGCAGGTGATAAGAATTTTGTAGTCACTTTGGGTACTAGTGCTGGGGCTATTTGTATCATAGTTAGTGAGGTATTTAAGGATTAGTTTGTAAGCCCAGATAATGCTGATTTCACTGCTAAGGTTGGCTCTATACCATGTAGGTGCAGTTTTGTAAAAGTGTAAGGCAAGATTATACATGTTATTAAATATGAGGTATTGAAGAAGTTTGAGTTTGATTGATTAAAATGAATATTTTCTATAAATAAATTAAAGTCTTCTAGAGTTATTAGAGCAATATTTAGTGCTTTGGCTTGTTGCAACTATTGGATAATTGTGTTTTGAATCTGCAGTCAAAGTTGTGCATCATTGCTAGGAAGATAGAGTGAGATGATCTAAAACTTGAAATTATATTTAAAGAAGAGGTCAATGGCAATAGAATATTCTGGCACTGTGCAAATATTGTGAATATGCAAGTAAGAGTATTGTGAACTATAATAGCTGTTTCTGCTTTGAAGCTATCTGTGCAGAACCAAAGATAGGTATAATGCTGGATCTTGAGGCATTTTTGTATAGTTATTTTATTTGATAGTTTGGTTTCAGTAATACAGACAATATTTAAGTTCTGCTACAAACAGTAGTGCTTCCAGGTTTCTTTTTTAGTATTTGTATTAAGGCATTGTATGTTGTAAGTACAGAAAGAGAGAGTTGGTGAGTGGAGTGATCTGGTTAAGATATATTAACTTGAGAAGTGCTGGGGTTTTGTATATTGTTTGTATTAGGTTGAGAGATTATAGAAGTGTGTGTATTGTAGGAGTTACTCATTAGAGTATTTTTTAGTATTTATTAGTATTGGAATGTCCAGTAGAAGAGTATTTTTATTAGCTGATGAGGTTTTTTTTATAGGGGCAGCTACTACTGTGGTGTTGGGCTCTTTGGTAGGTACTAGGTTATTTGTAGAGTCATTTGGTACTAGTATAATGCTGGCATAAAACATGAATATACTGGGGGTATTTGAATATAAGATTGTAGATATATCATTAAAGATGGTCTTACTTGGAGTAGGAAGTGGGGGAGGTCTAGTAGAAAGTTAGAGATTTTCTTGATTGTGTAAAATTGTTTTAGGGTCTTCATTGTTAGAGTAATATCTGGTTGGTTTTTATTAGAAAAGAGATAATAATTTCATGTTTAAAAAGAGTATTGTAATTTTCTCTAGATTGTCAGGAATATTGGGGAGGGCTTGCTTTGTAGCTGGGTTAGTTTTCCTAGCTAAAGTGGGAAAGCCACTCTCAATTTGGATCTATTTGGGTAGGAGCTGAGCAAAGTAGTAGTATCAGTGAAAAAGTTTGACTATAGTCATAAGTCTCTATAAGGTTGTAATTTGAAGAGAGATATTAAGGTATTTTGTAATTTTTTTTGCAGTTGGCAAAGTGGGTTTATTAGTTGGGTTAGCTTGCATAATTTCTGCTGAAATTGAGAATAAGATTTGATAGTAGAGAAAACTTGTTTGACAAACTCTCTTGCTTTAACATCATCTATAATAGAGTAGTTGAATGGGGAAGTGGTTTTGAACTTGCTTGTATTTTTTGGAAGAAGAGGTTTGGTGACAAAGAAGTCATTAGAAAGTAGCTTAAAGATGTAATATTCTCTAAGCTGAGAAACAACTTCAGTAAGTAGGATAGTAAAAGTGGCTTGATTGAATAAAAAGAATTTGTACACTTTGTGATTAAGCTCTTGGTAGGTAGTAGGTAGTAGTTTTTTGGAGGTAGCAAGTTTAAGTAGGCATCTGGAATTTTGGTAATAGTGTAAAAGTCTGCAAGTTTTCTTTTGTATGCAGCCAGGTGTTAGAGAAAGGATTGGTGAAAGATTAGGAATAGTTGGTATAGGCTAGCTGTGAGGCCATTGTAGTAGGAAAGAGTAGAGAGAGTTTTGCAAAGTATTTTTTAAAGATTCAAAGAATTTAAAATTCTTCTTAGAGCATTTACTATAGCTCTAGTATATGATCGTTGTGTGATGGGGAGTTTGAATAGCAGAATCTCTATAATTTCACTGGGGATTTGTGCAGGTATATCAGGTAATAGTATAAGCTTGTTTTTAAGAGCTTTGGTAATTGGGGCTCTAATTTCTTTAAGAGTTTCTTTACTAGTATTTTTGATTTGCAAGAATCCTCTTGCATATTAAATAGCTTTGTAAATTTATCTGTGTATAGTCTTGGAAAAGTTAATATTGAAAAGATACTGTAAGATAAGCATTTTTTTAAATATGCAATAGATTGTGTTATAAGTAGAGTATTGATAAGTGTAATCTCATTGATTTTTTATATACTGCAAGAGCAATATTAAAAAGATTTGTATATTCTTTTTGGTGTGCCAGAGTGGTTTTGGGTTACATGTAAAGGTGGTGAAAAATCTGATATTCTGGTAAATAAACTCGGGGGTGATTGCCTCTGGTAGCTTGTATTTTGTGTTGTGAGTAATTAACTTATAGCTAATAAAGTCGTGGATGTATTCTGAGATCTTAAGAGCTTTTGCGATTGTATTGAATAACCAGAGGTTTGTGTCAAAGGGGCATTGATCAGTGTGGTAATTTTGAGGTATACTTCTAAGACCCATTCTATTTTATTTTCTGGGGCATCAGTAGTAAAAAGTTTGAGATTGGTTTTGGTAATCTGGCTATAAGTAGATTTTGTAGTTGTCTATCTGCTTGCTTGTATTCTAACTAAAATAAATATGCTACTTACTATAGCTTTAGTAGCTTTGTTGGAGAATGTGTTGAGTAGTGAGATATTAGACATGTTTCTAGGCCTTTTACAGGTTGAGCTAGAGTAAGATGTAGTATCTACAGGGGTGGAGATAGCAGTAAGTGTGGTGAGTACAGGTTATGTAATTTGTTGCATCGATGTGCTAGGTCTAGGTGTAATTATTTTGGTATTGTTGATGTTAGAGCTATTTGGAAAATTAGTATTAGGAGGTTGTTTGTAGGTGGTACTATATTAGTGTTATTGGTGTCTGTGTTAGTATTTATATGTTCTGTAATGAGGTCTTTGAAGAGCTAAGCTTTGTGAAAATTGCTATGTAAGCTTGCTCATTATTGCTCTTGTTTAACTTATTATCTGAGTTTAAGTTTGTATACAGTTGTATAGGATCATAGATAAGTCTGCATTATTTTTAGCTTTTGCATAGAGTTTTATATTGCCTTTATAGGTGTTAATTATTGTTGTAAGGTTATACTACTTGTAGATTTGGAACATTTGGGGCTAAGTTATACAGTGTTGTTTTTTTGTATTGTAAGGTTAAATAAGACTAATTAGATAGGATCTTTATAGCTATATATCTATTGAAATAGGTAGTTAGTTAAGTTTAAAATTTTTTCTGATTTGGTAATATTGATAAAAAAAACAAACATGTTAGCATACTCTAGAATAAAGAAGCTAACAGTAAATATGAGTTTTGACCAGTCTTTAATAGTGATATTTAAAAAATTTTTTGTGTTCTGTGCTTGGGCTAGGGGGCAAGCTGGCAGTATAGGTCTCTTTAAATTGTATGGGTTTTGTGGGCCAAGAAAAATAATTAAAGATATAAGAAGAGCTTTCAAAAGCCATACTTTTGGTATAGTCTAGAGGTTTGTTAAGATGTAGAACTTTTAGCTTCTTACTATTTTTCTTTAGTATGCTATTTGTAGGTTGTTTTTGGTTATCTGAAAGTTAAGGGTCTATAGAACCACTTTCACAGAAGAATTAAAAAATTGCTTTTTTGCTATTTAGCATGTTTATTGCTTGTAGCTTATCTAAAAAGAGTCTTTTGGCAAAAATTCAACTCCTTTAAATAGTCCTGGGGTGCTGGATAACTTTACTTAGAAGGCAAATATCAAGTTAGTAAATTTAAAGAAAATATTACAGAAAAGTTTTTTCTTCTTGTTTTTAATTTGGTAAAGTGATCTACTAGAGAGTTTTTATTATATTATGTTTTTCTTCTACTTCTAAAATTTTACCTTAATATATTTTATATTTATTTATTTAATACAAACTATATATTTTTTTTATAAAAAGATCTTATGAATATATACTTATTTTTCCTTGCATTTATTTATACTAAATTTAGTATGTATTAGACAAAGTATTATTAAATATAGTGCTTATACTTATACTTAATAATACTGTAATCAAATATGTATAGAACTCTAGTACTAATCTTGGTATAAACCATGTTTATATAATACTAAAATTATTATAAACTAAAGTCAGTTTTGTTAAACTTAGTATAAACCAAGTACAGTATTTAAATAATCTAAATATTTAATTTATCATATTCTAAATTTTTTGGCTTAGAACAAGTAATATTATGAAAAGGCAAGTTTATATAAGGTTCAATTTTTTTGTATAGTTCTTCTTGCCTTTTTAAAAGAAGTAGTCTTATATTAATTATAGAAAGTAGAGTATTGTATTAAAAGAAAAAGAACATATTATAAAATTTTTATAATTGTTATTAAGATTGTCTTTATAAAAGACAACTCTGGGATTTGTAAAGTGAAATAAAAGTGATAATATTTTTGAATATTAGGTAGTTTTTTAAATACTTCAAAATATTTTTTAAAGTTATAATATTAAAATCTATCTCTATTTAAATAATGCTAAACAATATTTAAATTAACTAAAGTAAAATAATTAATAATTAAAACAATATTATTCATGGTATTTACTTTGCTTTTTTGGTAAAGAATTTTAATTAGACTGAAGCATCTATCAAAATGAATTTTATATGCCCAGATATTATAAAATTTAACTCAAATTCATCATGCATATTACGATTAACTAACTTTAAATAAAAAAATAATAAGTAATTATTCTTATTTTGCCTAGTACAATTATCATACTTAACAACTAAATTGGTTTTTTCACAATTATATTTTTGAATTACATGCCAAACTAGACTTAGAGTACAATTTACACCTTTTTCTTGCTTATCATAATTAGGCATTTTAGCTTCATCAATTATGTAATTAGTTTGCTATATATGCAGAAAGTTTAAGTATTGCAAACTCCAAATACTTTACAGAAACTTCTAATTTAGCAACTTTAAAACTACATTAAAGTAATAATAAAGTAGCTATTTAGTTACTTGGTAGTAGTAATTTTCTTTGCATTAACTATATATTAGCAATATGCTTACTACTATTAATTTTTTTTAGCTTAAAGTTACTATATAATTATTTTATAATTACTATACATTTACTATATATTAACAATATGCCTACTAGAGATCTGCATACCGAGCTTATGCCTATGTCCAACAAAAAAATTTAAGCCATAGGCGTGGGTATGAGCACAGGCACTTTGTGCCTGGTCTAAAAATGCTAGGCACTTTTTGTGGTATGGGCACTAGTACCCGGCATGGTGCCTGGTACAGATAATCTTGCATAAAAATTTACCTTATCTATAATTAGATTAGTTGCACAAATACGTATAGAAATCTGATAAAGAACTTACCTCAATGATACACCAACTGAAGAAATAAGTCTAGCGAACCTATAGTTAATTAAAAAAAATTTTTTTTCTGGTATTTAAAATTTACTATAAATTTTATTGTGTAATACAAATCACTCTTATTATAGTGAACTCTTGATATAGCGAAGATCTTGATATAGGGAAGAATTTTTTTAAATTCATTGGCATTATTATTAACTCTTCACTTGATAAAATAATATTTATATAGTATTCTCTCGATATAAGCTATAGTGAAGATTTTTATTCTCAGCCCAATCACTTCAATATAACAAGAGTGACTTGTATGTTAACTAAAAAGAAATTAATTAGTAAAGTGAAGTGAATCAGCAGAAAACTAAATGATAATTTGGTAGGTTTGTTAGTTTTTCAATAGTATTTTAAGCATTTATACATATTTAGCAAATTATAATTTCTAATAAAACTTTACCCATTACTATAGCAAGACAAATACACTACATAAATCTTTACAACGTTTGTAATATTGCAAAAAAAAAAAAAATCTTTTATGATTTAGGAAGAGCATTAAGGGGACTAAATTCATTTTGGCTTTCTAAAAGCCATGAATGCATAAGAATTGTACTAGCAACAGTTTTCTCACTCAAATTTGCTCTATCATTTGTAATAGTAAACCCAGCTCTCAAAAATGCCCTTTTACTAGTGATGTTTGAAGGTTGAATGCTGAGGTAATCGTGTGCTATTCTATTTAAAATTGGAATTTTTTTTGATAATGAATTCCAAATTAAAACACCATTATTTTCTTCTTCTATAGGATCTTTTTCGTATAACTCTAGCTTATACTCGATTGTATTAGTATTATATTTTTTTGAAATTTGTCTTGAGGAAACAACAAATTAGATGCAGAATTGTTATCATTAACTTGAGTGGTGGGGAGTAGTTCATTGATAATATTGGTAGTAGGAGGTGATTCATTAATACTGTTGATAGTGGAAGGTGATTGTATATTTATATATTTTCTCCTATATAAGATAATCTTTTGTCTAATATTATCAATAAATTGATCAGCGTCTTTATCACTATACTCTCTAACTTCTATTAATGTTGCTTTTAAATATTCGAATTTGTATCTAGGATCAAGTATATGTGTGATTATAATATGATTAATTATTTTATTCCAATACTTTTCAAATTTTTTTATTATTAAATAAGTCATATTATTAATATTAATCTTTTTGAGATGCTGTGAAATCTCTAATATTACTTTTATAGCATTGGATATAGAATTTGAACAATTCTTAGAGAGAACCAAAACGTTGCAAATTTAAAGGGCTTCAGAAGTTGACAAACTGATTTTGGATTTATTAATTCTTCTTGGCTTAAACAAGATAATATTAAAGATTCATTAGCACACATCTTATTAATTGCTGGATATAAAAAAATATATCTTTTGAACATAGCTAATGTCAAATTCCACCAAGTTTCTATTTCTAGTATTGGATATAAAAAGCCTATTTTAACAATACGACAATATGACTCTAATAGTTCCAAATGACCATTAAATAAAGGATTAGCCAGATACAGTATTTCATAATCTTATGTATTTTTTTTTGAAGGTGATTTATTCCTGTTAAGCCTACTTTAACTATTAAATTTAAGATATGACATATATATCTGATTGATACAATAATCGTATAGGGCAATTCAGCTTGAAGAATTCGGCTTACGGCTTTATTAGTCATGGTATTATTCATAGTAAGTCCAAATAGCTTTTTTTTAATATTATAGTCTTCTAATATTTTTTAATAGTACTAATTTTATAGCTTGGGCAGTTTGACCTAACTTTTTGAAGTTTAATATAATATTAACTTGTTGCCAGTCATCACTTATCCAGGATCCAGTTACTACAGTATAGTGACATCTGTGAACTGTCAAATGCCACCTATCACACATTAATGAAATTTGACCTGAAGTTTTTATTAATATATTTTTTATGAACTCTAATCTTTTACTAAATATATTTCCAGATAGATGCTGCGATATTGTAGTTAAGTGTGAGATTTTATATGAATCGGCTACACTATAAAGTTTTTTTACCATATTATGAAATAGTGAATTATCAAAGATGTTAAATAAAATTCCAGTTCCAACAACCAAATCAATAATTGAGTTATCCATTTTATCTTTCATAATTGGTTTAATGAGTCTAGATTTATTATTCCGAGATTCACATATAGGAGAATAAGAGCAAGATGTTGTATGCTGCTTTAGATAAGTTCTATTTGTATTAAATTTATATATTTTTTCTTGACAATGACAACACTTCCAGGCTTTATTATTATTATTCAATATCATATTCCAATGATCTTTAGTACAATATAGACTATTACTACTACAGGTGTTAGACACAGAGTTATCAGAATTTGTTAAATTATTCGATATGAAATTATTAGACACAGAGTTATTAGACATAGAATTATTAGACACAGAATTATTAGACATGAAATTATTAAACACGAAATTATCATTTAAGTCTTCCATTATACACAATATAAGTGAAAAACAATAATATTTATTAAATTAATACTGAAAATAGAAGGTATATATATACAATTCTATTTATTACTAATAATACTATGTAAAATTATATATTTTTTTAATTTAATTATTAATTAAAATACAATTACTAATTATTATTTTTATTATATAAAATGCATTACAGAAGCGAGAAATAATAATCTAATTCAACTCTATATATCTATCATTCAAATATGTAATATAATAGCGTTTTAATTAGAGTACTTTGACTTACTAACTTACTATCTTAACCTATGTTTGGCATTTGCAGAGCTATGCTATTATTATTAGGAAAGCTATTAAAAATATTAATAAATAGATCAAATATGAAGCCAAGGTAATCAAGAAATTTGTATTTAATATACATCACATACTATCAAAAATCTGCTGAATTAAATAATCCTTATAAGATTTATCGAGTTGGCCAATTTTATCTTTATGGAATTGGAGTTGAAAAGGATGAACTTAAGGCATTTACTTGGTATGAAAAATCAGGAAACACAGGAAATAATGTATCAAGTTGTCATGCAAAGCATTTGAGCATTACATAAAATCAGCTGAAATGAATAATTCTATTAGAATCTTTAAAACCACTATTTGTTACTATTATGGAATTGGTGTGGAAGAATGGATTAAAAAGTAAGTGTAATTTTAATTTTTGCACCAATATTTTATAAGTTTAATGTCACTTATACAATTTAATTATCAGGGAGTAAGAATAAAGGAATTGTTACAGGTGAAATTACAGTTTTTACGTTTATAATAAAACTTATATAATTTTGGAATACAGGCAATTTGCCAGGGGCATGCTTATGGTGATTTAGTAAAACTTATATGTTTTTCTTTTATTATGATCTTATGCAGAAGGGTTTATAAGGACTTTATTAAGTTATTTTATTATTACTTATGAATCACTCCCTTTCTACAGCGATAAAACATAAGCTTTTTATAACAATTTAATGAAAGGGCTTAAACAGGAGATCCTTACAACTCTTACTACATCTTGCACATGTTTGCTAATCTCGCACATCGTTTCATTTTATTGTTCAAGTTTTTTCTCTACACTAATTTCTTCATGAATCTTCTTCACATCCTTATTGCTAGAACCTTTCAGCATTAACGTCTAAGCCTCATAGATCGTACGCGTAATTTTACCTTTCGAAAATTATGATCGCCAACCCTGTTTCAAAGATCGATTGATTATTCCGCAGTTTCTTAGGTGACATTTATAAATGCTTTTTTTTTTTATTTTGTGTAAGCTTAGCCTGTGGGTATAAAAAAGATTTATTTATTATTCAGTGAAACTGATGCCACCGGTTTATTACTAGTTATAGGCCATGGGTACAGAAAATACCAACACTTGTCCATGAAAAACAAAAAAAAAAAGTGAAAACAGAGAAAAAGTATTTTATTATATGATAGATATGGAAATTATCTTGTCGTAATTGTCATAATAAATAAAATATATTACGTATCAAATAAAAGGCTAAATTATATTTTAGCTTTGAGCAATGTTACATTTTTTTGTAGCGATGCTAAACTTTTTGGGTACAGGCACTATACAGGCACTAATTTGGCATGAGCACGGGCATAGGGATGGGCACTTTGTGCCTGGTCTAAAAATGCCGGGCACGTTTGGGGCACTGGCGTTGGCATGGCACCGGCACTAGTGCCTGGCATGGTGCCTAATATGCCCGGCATGGGCATTTGCAGAACCCTAATACTTATATATCTTCAATTCGCATGGGGAGTTTTAATCCATTGCTTGGGGCTTCAATCCCTTGCTTAGAGTTTCAATCACCCAACTGTGCCACAAACTATACCAAAATAAGAAATGCATAGAATAATATGACTAGTGATTTGAACTAAGAAAAATTTCCTCAATCGGTTAACCGAACTGAATTATTTCATTCAATCGGTTGCTATCCAGTTAAGATTAATATTTTATTACCTTTGGAACTCTCGGAGCTTTGCTCAAATTTTTTTGTCTCAACCTTGCTCATCTTTTATGTTCATTCTTTTTTTTTTCAGAATTTTTCAGTTCCTTTATTGTCTCCTTATGTCATTTAATACTATATCGACCCTGCCAACTGATTACCAATTCTCAACCGGTTGTACCAGGTCAACCGATTAAGAATTTTCTCTACTGGTTAACTGAAATTTATTCAGTTCAGTTGATTAACCGATTCAAGTTACTAGTCCCACCTAGGGATGGAAAAAAATATTTTAACCAGTTTTTTTAGATATTTTAGAACTTTTTAAAAAACTTTTTAAAACATTGGTGCTGAGGCTAAAATTTAAAATTTAGGGCTAAAATGCCGATTCGCCAAATTTCATAGAAATGACTTTTAAAGAAAAAATATTTACTTTATAAACTTTGTTATTATATAATTACAAGAAATGCACAATTGCTTAACTATATATATCTATTATTATTATTGTTATTTTTTTTATACGCTCTTTTTATATAATTTAATGCATAATTATAAAACCAATTATCAGTTATCATCGTCTTCGAACCAACCATTAATCTCAATTCATTTTTGAATTCTCAAATTCTGATAGACTGCAACAAGTTTTTTTTTTTGTTCATTATCTGAATGTGCACGATGCTTATTATGAATATACCCAAAGTTAGACCAGCAACGTTCTGCTGCACTATTAACTCATTTTTATTTGAACCGGAGACTTGAGTATCAGCATTATTTAATAAATTTTTCATACTTTTTGGAACCTTTTTGCATCTATATAAGTGATCTTTAAATCAAGCGACTAAATCCACAGCAGTTACACTTTTGACGTGGCGTAATTCAACCAAGTTTGTCAATTTCTATAACTTTTGTAAAGTTCAAGCAAATTTCTTTTAACGGAGGTCCCCTCGGAGCATGACTGTTTATAATTTTATATATTAAAAAGAGATAACAATAAAGTTGTATTTTGACAAAATTAATTAATTAAATAAATAAATACTATCTATTGTTACGTATTATGATTACGTCAAAACGTATTAAATCATTTAAAAACAGGTTTAAATCAGACAAACATGTTTTAAATATTCTGTTTTAAAACATTTTTCATTCCTAGTACAACCTGTCTCTCAGTAACTAAGGGCAATATATTAATACTTGTTTAAGAAGTTATTTGTAGGTACTGTTAGGCTCTGCGGCTAAGCAAGGATCCCTCATTTGGCAATTATGCTTTAGTTGCCATAGGCAATGCAAAGACTTCAGCTGCTCCACTGCTGCTATAATCAGTATAAATACCTCATGTTTGATGACTAGGCTTCGCGGCTGTTGTGGGCAGTACAAGGATCCATGACTTGGTTTCTCTTACGTCGTTAGATATTTCTATATGTCTGATTCTCTTTATAGCTATGTGTTTCCTTTGACTTCAATATGGTTACGATTTGTTTTAATGGTCAGTGAGATGTAATAGGTCATAAGATGCATATTGTTTGTTAGAGATGAAATATTCCTTTAAAAACATAGACATTTTAGTATTATTAATATAAGGTTTGTAAAGCCTATAATGATCTTCGTAAATAAAGCCAGCTGATTGAGCAATAATAAAAGTAAAATTAAATTTTGAAGGATAATTATAAATAGATAACGAATTTATCCAGATTGGAACTCTATCCGTATAATTTCAATGAATATATAAAAGTCATAAAAAATGTCTGATTATTAAAAAAAAATCATATGCCTATATATAATTGCATACGTAATCAGCCATATTTCTACAAACAATATGTAGATAATGTTTAGGGTTTAGGTGCAAAATTTTGTTCATCTTTCACACAATATTTCAGAAACAAAAATTATATTAATATTTATATTAGAAAGAATAAATATTGTTATCCAATATCTTACTGTGATCGGACTGCCAAATAACTTGGTTATTTGGCAGTCCGATCATAGTAAAGATATCGGATAACACTGTTATTGGATGTTACACACCAATAACTTATTTATCTGACTTACAGCCAGATAATGGAGTTATTTTTCAAATAATATTTAGTTATTGGATGCGAAGCAGCCAATAACGAGTATTATTTGTAAAATAATTCTCGTTATTGGCTGCTTCGCATCCAATAACTATATATTATTGGATACTTCGCATCCAATAACTATATATTATTTTTTTAAATTTTATTTTTATTTTATTTTATTTCTTTTTATTTTATTTTTTTTATTTTCATTTTTTTATTTTTGGATAGAGTTTTTTTAGCAAAATAAGACACGTTCTATAACAGAAAAGTATATTAATGTCCTTTGTAATCTGCGTTCCTTGTTTTAGTTGTTTTGCATCAAATTAAAGTTTGAATCAAATTTAAATGCGAAGTTTTATTAGAGTTAGAGTGGAACTATGTTGAATATTAATTGAATTATAATGATCTCAATTTGATACAGTTCTATATCAATATCCTAAAGATACTAAATTTTGATATACTAAATTCTTAAAGAATAAAATCCTAAAAAAAAATTTCTTGAAAAATCACAATCCTGAAAGCTCGTAATTTTGAAGAATAACAATTCTGAAAGGGTCACAATCTTGAAAAGGTCTCAATTCATTATAAATAAATTAAATGATGTAAGGTTTAAATTTATGTGTTTTTTAAAAAAATTATTAAAAAGGTTAAATTTTTAAATTGCGTAATTATATATTAGAATTTTACATGTAAAAGTTTAATTTGCATGTTTTTAGCAGAAATTTAAAAACAACAGCAATAAACAGATCACGGAATTTGCGTCGATACTAGTAGTTAGGCACATTCAAATGTTCATGCTTAAGGTAGCTTGATACATCATAAATCAGATTAGATTGGTCGTGCAACTACCCTATAAAAAATTGTACACAGAATTTATAGTCAAGCACGGGTACATGACAACACGAGAGCATACAGAACTACATGAAATATAACACGGGACGGTGCATGTGAAGATGTGCACTGGACACGTAAAAAG